CACGCCAGAGAGGGAGGGCGAGACGATCGAGGGGTCCCGTACCATGCGGAATCGACCCTATCCAGTGCTCAAGTGCTCAAGCAAGTACTCACCGGTCTCAGCAGCATTCACAGACCTTGTTATTGAGAAGAAAAATGCGTCCTATGACTATGGCGCTGTTTCACAGACAGACCTTGTTATTGAGAAGAAAATACATCCTACCTATGCGCTTTGCGCAGCGGTCTATGAGAGGTTGAGGTGCGAGCCCTGGAGGCCCTGGGGATGGGGGGAGACTACCCGCGGGCCTAGAAGGCCCGCGCGCAATTCACAGCCTCTTGTCCTCGCTCTGGACGGAGGGGACGGACCAGCGCGACGCCAGCGCCATCCCCCCCGACGACGCGCGCCGCAACCTTACCGAGCACCATTATTATCTCAACGAATTGCGAGAGCGGCACAGTGCCGCTCCCCCGCTCCGATGCGGGTAAGTACTGGTCTCTCGTCCTCCAGCTCTACAGCTCCTCGCTGGTAGTCATGCTTGGCAACATGCTCGAGTGGCTGGACTTTGGCATCTACGGATACTCGCAGTCGGACATATCGGTCCAGCTTTTTGCCGGGAGCGAAACCGCCAGTTGGGCAACCTTTGGACTGGGCTACGCGTTCCGACCGGTCGGGGCCTTTGTGTTGGGAAAGCTGTCCGATGCGTACTCGCGAAAAAGCAGCTTTCTCGTGGCCATGCTCGGCATGGCCTTTTCGACGGCGTTGATGGCCACAATTCCCGCGGTGTGCGGAGAAGAGGGCGTAACAATCGACTATTGCGTTGGCGCCGTTTGGAAAAGCGCGGTGCCGGCGGTTGCGCTGCGCTGCGTCCAGGGTTTTTCTGCGGGCGCCGCCGCGGGAGGAATCAACGTGATCCAGTCAGAGCTGTGGTCGACCTCTGACCGAAAGGGGGCGCTCGCGCAGTCCGTCGGCGTGAACAACGCCAGTGGAGCCGCCGCTTCCATGCTCTCTGCCGCCATCGTCTTTGGCCTCCGCTCCGTGCTCGGCAGCGAAACCTATGCCGCATGGGGCTGGCGGCTCGCCTTCCTGGCGGTGGTTCCGCCCAGCATGCTGGCGAGCTACCTGATGCACACCTCGGTTCCTGAGTCGAACGAATTTGCCACCACGGACGATGATGTTGTTGTCCTGAAGCACAATGAGTCCATCAAGAACGACGTCTCGGACGCAGTGGTCAACCCGGCGGCCCCGATGAGGACCACCTCTGTGGGCCCTCGCCTAGGGTCGATTTATGAGAGCTCGCCCAAAGTGCCCATCCCAGCTTCTACTACGATGTCGCGGGACCCGCCTTGGCTTGTAATCGTTGTCTCGATCTACGTTCAGTTTGCCATCGCGGCCTACAACAACCTCAACGTGTACATGGCCTCTCGTTCTGCTGCTTTGGAGCTCTCTATCAAGAGCCCGTCTTCACCGCCTGCTGCTGTGATTAGGTCTCGTACGCCAAGGAGCACTACGGGGTCTCCGTGAGTACCGCAACACTGATGCAGGTGGTGGGAAAGGCGGTCCAAGTGGGGATGACACCCCTAGCAGCTTTGCTCGCCGACTTGAGAGGCTGGTATGGGGCATGCGCCTTTGGTGGGATCATGTGCAGCGTGTTGGCCCTTCCTATGATGACGGCCAGCGAATTTGGTGGCGTCATCAGCACATGGATGCTAATCTCGGTGCCCACCGCTTGTCCCAGGTCTGTCGCGCCGTCAACGGCCTCGCCGCTCACGCAATCCTGCCACGCCATAGGTCGCCTTCCCCATCGTCTCGACGGTGTGGATCCTCAACGCGCCGCTGCTTGCGACGTCCATCTTCCCCGTGGAGACCCGCAGCAAGGGCACCAGCCTGGTCATGGCAACGGCAGCGGCGATCAGTGGCTTCTTCCCGCTCGCCCTCAACGAGATCACCAACGTGTACGCGAGTGGGGTGGTGCTCGCCGTCGTCGCGGCCCTTGCCAGTTGTGGGATCCTCTGGGTGCGAGGCCAGGCTCGGGCGGACAAGCTCAGCATTTACCAGCGCCCAGAGCTATTTTGACAATCCGTTTATTGCCGCCTGAGACAAAACTCAATCTTCTCATAACTAGACGATATTACGCTGAGTTCGTAACCCGAAACGCTGGCCTGGCGAGGAGAGGGAGTTCGGGCAGACTGGGAATGGCACAGACCATCTGCGGCCGCGTTCCCACAGCTTGCAACGGCAGCTTTAGGGGAGACACATTGAGTCTCCCCGGGAGTTCCCTGACCGGCACAATCCCAGCCTCGCTCAGCCGACTACGGCAACTTGTCTCAATCGACCTTGCTAACAATGCGCTATCGGGCACTATTCCACCAGAGGTGACGCCCCCCTCACGCCAAAGTCATGGAGAGTGCCACTCCTTTCCAGTCTCAGCCAGGGACCTCGCAGCCACCCTCAAAGCGCCGACTTTTCCCCGCTCGCCCCAAACAGCTCGGTCGCATCACGGCGCTCAAGCACCTCGTGCTGCACGACAACGCACTGAGCGGCTCGATCCCGCCCCTAAGTGGCATTCCCAGCCTGCGGTACCTGCAACTCAGCGGCAACCGGCTGAGTGGCACCATCCCGCCTCAGCTTGGTGCCCACCCCCGCAATCCCACCCTCCATCTCTGCCATCTCTGCCCGCCTACCACCGCAGAGCCAGGAAGCTCGAGCTGGCCCCACTCCTCGCCACCGGCTACAGGCGACCACCTGCATCTGAGCTCCCTGGACGTCTCGCGCAACCGCCTGAGCGGCGGGATCCCGGCGGAGCTCGCAAATCTCCGGTTCTGCGGCATGGTGTCTC